AAAAAATTAATAAAATTTAGTTTGATAAACGGAACGCATGTAAATGCTCTAAAAATTTTTTTTTTAGAATTATGAGTTTATAGAATCTTATTCTGTAGAATATTATATTTGCAGAATATTAACTTATTTAAATATTAATTTTTGCAGAATTTTCATTAAACGGATTATTATTTCCCCTTAAACCGCTTGATATTTTTTACTAAAATAACAAAATTTTTAATTTTTCACACTAATTTTGCAAAATTTATTTAAACTTAAAGAATATAATAAAATTTAATAGTATTCAATGTAATAATATATATTATTATAGACATTTTTTATTTTTTATTACATTCAATTTATTTAAATATTATATTATTCCAAATAAAATTTATGAACTTAAGAACATGGAATAGACATTAAACTATAAAAAAAGCACAAACAAAACATAATCTTTTAATTCTTTTTCATTTTCCTAAGAGATTTTATAACTTTGTACAAATTTTTTTGAATTTGGCGTAGGCAGAATTTAAAAATTTTTTTTATCAGAATTCAGTAAAAATTGTTTTAAACTTAATATTCTCAAATATAAATTTAAAAACTCCAATTGACTCCAATTGTACTAAATAGCAGTGCAGGGCTCGGCACGTAGAAGATCATTCTTTCCTATAGAACTGCGTGTGACTAATTGTGATTGGCTGAGTCAGCAAAATTTGCTCAATCTCCATCAGTATAGCCAATCAAATTCTAGTTTATACTTAGTGTTGCCTTACTTTTAATATTTCAGATACAATTTAAGTAGGAAAAATAACATTTAGATGAAAACACTAAAAAAATCCACTAAAGAAGAAAAAAGATACTAAATCTCCTACTAAAATATTTCTCCCATTAAAAATGCTACTGAAGGACCAAAATCTTACTAAAAATGGGAAAACCGCACTAACTTGGCAAAACTGAATTTTGTTGAGAATTCAAAAATATTGTCAAAATTCGTTATTTTGTCAAAAAAATTTATCCAATTTTGCACATCAGTAGATGACAATAAAAATAAAATAACGCAATTATTGTAATATCTGTATTATAAGAAAAAGGTCAGATTAATTATTGTGACGTGGCATTTTGCCACACACAATAATTTATTGTTATTTTTTTTTATTACCCTATCAAAATGGGAATCTTCCTTTTTCCTAAAATAAATAAAATAATAAATAATAAATTAGACAAAATAAGTAATTATTTAAATGTAACAATAAAATTAAAGTAAAATAATAGATTAAACCTGCCAACTAGTCGAATCACTCTCGTATTATTTTAATAAATAAAATTTGTATACTCGCGTTCCAAAAATGATTTCATGTTATCACGAGGAATTGTTGACAATATCCAAATCCATGGTCGCTCATCTGTTACGAAGTCAGCAGGGGAAGTACTTCCTGGTGCACATATTTGGATGAGATTCCTGAATATTCAAGAGCACCAGGAAGCCGAAAAAAGATTGATTGTTTTGATCCTGTCACAATAATGGGGGCAGCCATTTTGAATAGAGGACACCACTACGCTCTCTGGTAGAGTTGCGATCTACCTTACCAGCGACATCGATAAAATTTATCGACGCGTGATATATTGATTATCGACAAATAGAAAGTTATTAATTACTTTCACTGGGATTCACCATCAAAAAGAAAGCGTGAAAGGTGACGCCGACTAGAGTCAAAGGTCAGCCATTTAATTGATACTCATTCTCGTTTTGATGGTGGTATCAGGCAGCACGCCAACTTAGTGAAAAAGATAATTTTTGTTATATTAACTCGACCATGTCAGGACGGCGACGCATTAACGGTGAGTCCCAGTGATTAATAAATTCCATTTCTCGCCAGATTGGCATAAAATAAAAATAAAGTTTTGAAAATATTAAAAGTGATGTTTGCTCACCGCATGGCAAGCGGAATAATCTTGTTGTAAGTTCGGCCATAGGCCGAATACATTAAGTAAACTTTTCACATGTTATTTAAAAAAGAAGAAAAGTAATAAATTAATAATAAAATTGAATAGTGGAATTTAAATAAATATTACAGTGAAATTAAATTCAGTGAAATAATTAATGTGTTTTACTCCTTACCTCCCCCCTCTACGCGGTTTGCTAGGAAGTTTTCCTATCATTTTCTGAACTAGTCTGGTAAATATTTAAAATAATTAACTTTTGTATACTTTTTATATAAAATATTCTGGCGCTATACAATAAATTATTCCCTTATAAAATTAAAATAATTCAAAATTAACCTCAAAGTGTAGATAACATTTTTCTATTATAATTCATATTATAATAATTATGTTATTATCCATTTTATTAAGACTTAATAGATTTTAATAATAATAAATAAAAATATAAAATTAGTCAAAATGTTATAGTATATATATATATATATATATATATATATATATATATATATATACTTTGCGGTACTGGATTCCAAAACAAAAGTTCCTCACAATGAATATTTATTTAGTTGATTAAAGAAAATTCACCAGAATGAAGAACTCTACGTTGAATTTTCTAGAATTAAAGAAAATTTTAATTAAGCACAATCGAAAAAATTAAGTAAATAGTTTAATCTAAGGTAAAATGTGGTGCACAGTGCCTTTGTAGAGAATTTACAGGGGTATGGAGAGAGAACAAACTATTGAATATGCAGAGCTCATCACTTGAAAGTTTCAGCTGTAAGAGAGAGAGAGAGAGAGAGAGAGAGAGAGAGAGAGAGAGAGAGAGAGAGAGAGAGAGAGAGAGAGAGAGAGAGAGAGAGAGAGAGACTGCGGGGAATATTACATATAGAGCCCAAAGAAGAAAAGCAGATTAGAACAAGATCTAGAGCAAGGTCGTTATTGAATGACTAATTATTGTAAATTTGTGAGAAATGAAATGAGTTTATATGAAGTTATATATCTAAGCGATTGCTGCGTTCCTTCACTATATATCAATAATCAATATACCGTTAATTCTTCCCTTGTGAATTCCATTTCATTCCTCGGAATTTCGCTTAATTTGGTAGCGCGAAGAGAATCCACTTGATTGAACAATAGGTTCGAGCAAATATTCTATTTCTCAATGCAGTGAAAACATTTTTATTAATTTTTTTTCTACATCTATTATTACGACTATTATTCTTATTATTAGTAATATATTATGTTTTTTTTAAATATTATTTAATTTAATTCTTTATATATAATTAAAATTATTAAATTAACCCATTAAGCCCCAAATGCACTGAAATTTTAGTCTAACTTTAACTGTGAATATAAAGAATTAAAATTAAAAAGATTATTTGAGACCATTGTATCATTAATTAAGTTTTGTTTAATGCAATTGTATGTATTTTTAAGGAAATACATTTTCAAGTAAATGTTTATATTTACAATTTTTCCTTCACGCAATTTGAATTTCGCGCTTTAATTTTCCAACTATCCGCCAGATGACAGTGTTTTTCTCTCTCATAAACAACATCAATCGGTTGAGGTATAAGTATCCGCGATATGTACAGAATCTTCACAATATCTCTTTTATTTAGGTGATAATTGTTAATGCCTAGGAGGACGTTAAAAAATATTTTTTTCTTTTTTTCCGTTTATTGCGGATGATTTTATATATAACCCTTGTTCCGAAGGGAAATAATAATGTTATTATATATAATAAAATATAATATATAAATATAACAAAAAATTTTATTATATTTTAGTTTTAGTTAATTTTTTTAATCTTGCCTGAAGTCTGGTTTTTTGTATTTTTGAATATTGGGCCAATATTGAAATTCGAGCCTTGGCATTGGTCTCTACACTCTCAGCCTTGGAACAATATTGGTAAAAATAACTGGTCCAATATTTAGCCAATATTCAGTCTTGGCAATTTCCCACTGGGCAAGAAAGCATTTTTAGCTGAATTTGTCGACTTAAAATTTTTTTTGATCGCCATATTGAATCCGTCAATTTTAATTTTCAAATTCTGATATTAAATTCGTAATCAGCGATTAAAAAATCGCGTCATTTTGCAAATAAACATTAATAACTAGACTTGACTTTTATTGACTACTGTGACCTCGACTAATGTGAATGGTGGAGAACATTTTACGTAAGGTAACTTGCAAGCTGAAGAAAATCATTCAGCTTCTAACATCAGAAGCAGTCCTGGTTAAAATTTCAGACTAATTTCAGATTAAATACAGACAAATCTGGAGTGAGATTATAAATAGCGACAACCCTACGAAGATTTCGCTCTGTAACGATTCTAAGCATTTTTTTCTCATATTTGCTTTATTTTATAATTTAACAATTTTTTTAGAATCAAGAATATATCAAATTCATAAGGATTTCCCACGATGAAGAAATGAAGCAATTAAAAGAAATATCTAAAAGCCTGACAAATTTTTCAAGTGTAACACTTCAAATCTCAAAAGTTATAAAAAAGACAATTCTAGGCAACGATAATTATTAATATTATTATATTAACACTTTTATTTTTTTTTTGAAAATTTATTTAATTTAATTAATTAATTTTGTTTATATTATACACCCATTTGCATAAATTCTATCCTTCCTGTTTTGAAGACATTATGAAAAGTCGTGATACTTCAATAATAATTTTATTAGTTTATTGCGTATATGCTATAAACCAATGTATACATCATATGCGACAAACTATGATGAAATTATATTATAGAAATGTAACTTTTCAGTAAAAAAAAATAATAATATTACAAAATAATGCAAGAAACAGTGAAGCAATAGCATCAAAAATTAGATAACACAAATCACGAATAAATGTACACTTAAAATTCAATATCATTGTGGCACTAACTTAGATCAATTCTAAAGAATATTTTTCATAATTATTCTAGTTCAATTCATTATCATGTTTTTGCATTGTGCATTTGGAAATATTCTGAACAATAAAATACAGATAAAAATATAAATAATAAAAAATAATAAAACATTATTTTTCATTTTATTGTTAAAAATTTTTAATATTTATTTTTATGCGCGCCATACAAGTTTTTATAATAAAAAAGTAAGATATAAAATTTTATTTTTCTATTTTTTTGTAGATTACAAGGTAAATGCGTAAATATGCTTTTCAAAAATCTAAGGTTTATAAACCACATTTACTGTTAGTAAGAAAATTCTACTTGTTCGCGGAAGGTAAGATTTATAATTGTCTTTTAATATTTTTTAAAAATAATTATTATTTAATTATTATAATAAAATATATATATATAGACAAAAGTTTAATACTATTTAATAGAATTATAAAAAATTACTTTTGAAAACTGCTTTAAAGTGATGTAATTTTGATAACTATTTGGCTATTATTTTTATCCTTTTCTTCTTTAATAAGTTCTTTCCTTGTAACTTTACTATTTATAAAAAATAATCTCAGTATAGAATAAAATTATTTTACTTCTAAATTACTGTTAAATGTTATTTTATAACTTTTCAAAATGAAAACATGTACATGAACATCTACATTGTCATGTTAATTTGAGTAGTCCTTATTTTTAAAATTTTAGAATTTCGTTCATTCCCAACCAAAGATACATAATTATTAATTTTTTTTAATCATATCCCAATAAAAAGCAACATTTAATCAGTTTTTGTCGAAAAATGTAATTGCATTTTTGCAAATAAAAACCTTTTTTTTGCATTTTCCTTAAAATTTAATTAAAAATAAATAAGCAACATTTTAAAATTTTTTCAGATCATTTGTTTTTTGTGGCTAACTCATCACTCCCCAATTTTTAATGAAAAAGGTAACAATTATGAATGCCTATGTCAAAATGTTAAACTTACTTTTTTTCTTGATGACTTTCTTGTTGTTAATAAACAACTTTGATAAAAACGTACCTTTGTCCATTGACAATAAAGTTATGCATCATCAAGTGGGTTTCTCAACACAGAAAATAATTTTTGGACATACTAATCACTTTCTTTCATTCTATAATCTTGAAAACATATCAAACGTCGACGACTTGGTGTCAAAGGTCTTTTGCTATACAACAAATGCTCTGCTTGTTTTTCCACTTTTAACAAACTTCATTAGTTCGGGAATAAGTATCGGCAGTGAATTTTCTGAAGATTTTCTTCGACAAAGTACAAGTCGTTTAGTTATTAAAGAATCATTGAATCTTGCAATTCCAATTTTTCAGGGAATTATTACAACAGAAATTATCACGAAAATATCGAAACTTATTATAAAACCAGTTATGGCAAAAGTAAATTTTTCTCCAGAAGATCGAAGAAATCTCAAATATAAATTCTTTCAGCATAGATATTACTTAATAAAAAATTATCTTTCTAGAAGTTGTAATGAAACTACAGCAATGTCCATTTTAAAACATTTTAGCTTTATTTCACTTAATCGTATGACGCATTTTGCGATTAAATTCAATAAAAATAAATACACTCCTGAAGAATACTATGATCAATGGCTAAATAATCCAATGTTGTATGAAAAATTAAGATTTGATTCGTACTTGGAAATTGGAATAAATAGGAGTGAAGCAATTAAACGTATTGAAAATATTTATACCTTAAAAGAAATGAAGTTAATTTGTCCCCCAGAATCTGCATTTGATGACTATGTGGCTAATGATCTAACTGACACCATCTTCTTTCATGATTATTATGTGATAAAAGCTTTTTTGTATTTTCCTTATATTAGCACAGATCTAGATGAACCTGATGTTTGGAGATTAAAAAAGGCTATGTATAGTTTAGCAATAAGACAGAACGATGCATTTAAATACGAAGAAAGGAAGCAAATAATATTGTATTGCGTTAAATCAAAAATCTTTCAGAAAATCATTAAACGAACATATACAACCATATCACATAATGCATTTCTTTATTGCAATGAAGACAGTAAAGCATGGAATGATTATTATAAAGACTCATCTGAAATAGATAACTTTCAAGAGCCCACCTCTTATTTACTTTATTTTAAAATAATAATTAAAAAACCATTTTTATTCATTGATGTGAATAGCATTGATGCAAATTCCAAGCATTATATAATTCTTCCTAAAACTGAGTTCATATTAATTGAGGAAAAATTTAATTTGATTGATGAAATTAAAGTACATTTGTTTATTATGAAGACAAAAGTCAAACAACAAGAAAGCCAATGGCTGTCTAAAGTAGCCAATGAAGTTTCCTATTATGACGATAAAATTAATGGTGAAATTATGTCTCAGCCTTTTAAACTATTGTATTGCTGATATTAAATATAATAAAGAGCACGTAATATTACTGTAATATTAAAATGTCCGCCTCATGGTAATATTACTGTAATATAACAGTAATATTATTCTTTTGCCTAAATTATATTGTTTTTCATTTAATTAAAAATTTAAAAATCCCATTATATATTCTTGATCATTTCACACTTCTTTACTTTTCGAAAAAAATTTCTATAATAATTTTATTAATTTATGGCGTATGATTTAAAGGTCTAGGCAGAATAGAAACGTAACTGAAATCGCAAACACAACTGGATGAATGAGTTAGAGAAAGACAAACAATATGTCTACCCTTCTCTATAACTCATTCTTTAGGTTGCGTTTGCGATTTCACTTACATTTCTATTCTTCCTAGGCCTTTAAATCATACGCCATTAATTAATAAAATATCATTATATTATATAAATCTCACGACTTTTCAAAATGTCGTCAAATCGGAAGAACAACATTTATGCAATTGGGTTTTACTTCAAGAACATTTGGCTAAAAATAATCTTCAATAATTAAGTTCCCACACAGCACCCAAAATTCCCTGAAACTTGACAGAGCCTCACACGGCGAGGTTAGGAAACTTCAGTGGCAAGGTTTATACAAGTTTGTGTCCATGTTTAAATGTTCACATGAAAAGAATATTTACACAAAACTTTGAGGAAATATTACACTGTAAATATTCACGTGCAATGTTCAGTTAATGTTGTGTCAATATTCACCTATACTTATTATATTAGTAAATGAAATTCTTATAACTAGGCGAAAATGTAATTTCAATATTGACACAACATTGACTGAACATTGCACGTGAATATTTATGTGTAATATTTCCTCAAAGTTTTGTGTGAATATTCTTTTCATGTGGACATTTAAATATTGACACAAACTTGTATGAACCTTGCCACTGAAGTTTCCTAACCTCGCCACACTGTAAACTTGATGGTATCATTTTGGAATGCAACGTTTTGATTCGATATAAGGTATCAAATTGATCCCAATATTTGGATCATTTTCAAGAAATGTTCCAGAATATGGGATCATTTTTGTTACCTGAATTGGTATCAAAGTATAACTGTCATGGCTGGCATTGACAAGTTTATTAATTAATTTATTCACTGCACTGAATATTCAGATATTAAAAATACTTTTATTATGAATTTTAAGAAAGAGAGAAGCGAAAACTTATAAATTGCGAGCAATTAAATAAGAAAAAATTTATTTCGTAATAAAATGAAATATACTAATCTTTATTTATGTTTATCACATAAGATTTAAGTTAAGTTCACAATCACAATACTTGAAAATTTTTAATTATTTTTGTGTTTCAAATAATTACACAGGCCTGCATGGTTTTTTTTATTTTTGATATTGAAGTCGTTCCCTATGTAATTTTGTGCGCTGAACACGATCCCGTGTCCCAAAATGGCCCAGCACGTCATAATTTTGAGAAAAGTGGGGATAAAGAGCCCAAAAACCGTGTTTTTGGGTGTTTTCAAGAATTTTTTTCTCCTTAACCTGACGTGCTAGAAACTTCTACTAGGTCTTAAATTAAAGCTTAAAGCGTGCACTTTAAGACCCATATGCGCAAGTCAAAAAAAACTTAAGGGATTTTAAGAAAAGTGGGGGTAAAGGGCACCAAAAAAAATTTTTTTTCACCCTAAAAACGCGTTTTTTTATTTTTTTTACCCCCACTTTTCTCAAAATCCTGTCGTTTTAGGCCATTTTGGAACCCGGGATCGTGTTCAGCGCACAAAAATACATAAAAAACCACTCCGATATAAAGTTTGTAAAAAAATTTTTTTGGGGCTCTTTCCCCCCACTTTTCTCAAAATCCTGACGTGCTGGGCCATTTTGGGACACGGGATCGTGTTCAGCGCACAAAATTACATAGGAAACGACTTCAATATCAAAAATAAAAAAAAAAGTCGAATTTTGCAGGCCTGTGTTATCAATAATTTATTTATTATAAATGAACAAAATTTAAGCAATGCACGCTTGATAAATATTTCTAATGCGTTGTCAATTAATGCAATTAATAATTTCCTATTACACAATATCATAATCGACATATATGACATTTGTAAACAAACAGGGTTGGGAAACAAGAGCCCAAAATATGTTCGTCCAAAGCAGAGTTGGGTAGGATTGAGATTCGCTTTGGACGAATATATTTTGGGCTCTTGTTTCTCAAGCCTGTTTGTTTACAAATATTATATATGTCGATTATGATATTGTATAATAGGAAATTATTAATTGCATTAATTGACAACGCATTAGAAATATTTATCAAGCGTGCATTGCTTAAATTTTGTTTATTTATAATAAATAAATTATTAATAATTATTTGAACCACAAAAATAATTAAAAATTTTCAAGTGCGTTGTGATTGTGAACTTAAACATAAATAAAGGTTAGTGTATTTCATTTTATTTCGAAATAATTTTTTTCTTATTTAATTGCTCACAATTTATAAGTTTTCGCTTCTCTCTTTCTTAAAATTCATAATAAAAGTATTTTTAATATCTTAATATTCAGTGCAGTGAATAAATTAATTAATAAACTTGTCAATAAGAGCATGCCAGCCATGACAGTTATACTTTGATACCAATTCAGGTATCAAAAAATGATCCCATATTCTGGATCATTTCTTGAAAATGAATCCAAATATTTGGATCAATTTGATACCTTATATCGAATCAAAACGTTGCCTGAGTTGATCTTAATTCTTGTATCAATTTGATACACACAAGAAAACTGTGTATGTGAGGTTCTGTCAAGTTTCAGGGAATTTTGGGTGCTTTGTGGGTTGCTTTAGAGGAAAATTAGAACTAGACCCCTTTTTGAAATTTTGTTTCTCAAATCTTTTATAATATTCATTATATTTTACGTTGCTTAATAATTTGAATTAAAAATTTCAATATGCTGGCCATCTATTGACGAGGAATTTAAATAAAAGATAAGTAAAAAAAAAAGATTTCTATATTATCGACTATGAATAAGTTATCTTTAAAAAAGTGTTATCTACTGTCGGTAAAAGTAAAGGTTATTTCAGTTATACGGTGAAGTTTTTATATTTATTGCAACACAGCTATACCGACTGAATCTAACTATACTTTTCTTTAGTGAAATCACCTATGAAGTTATCATTTTTGCCGCAATCAAAACTATAGTGCTGTCATCAATTCTTGCATCTGTCAAATTGTATATCGTAAATGAATGCAAAAAAAAAGAAGTTGTTTTTTTTTCACTAGTCACCAACAAAACGTTCTCTATATTTTAGTGCAATAAATTTAAATAAAATCACTGACATAAAAATGTAAATTAATTATTTAAAAATTTCTAATTGCAAGCACAACAAAACACTATATTAATTTTATATATATATATATATATATATATATATATATATATACTTTAAAAATCAATAGTAAAAAAAAATAATTTATACTTCAATCATGGCAAATCGTGAGACTTTTATTAATTCAAAAACTTCCGAAGATCATAGCGTCGAGGTTTGTATATTAATTTTCATTTCTATTCTTTATAAAGTTATTATTCTATAAATTTTTATAAAAAATTAAAATTTTTCTTACATACAATTTTGCATATAAACGTTTTTTTTAACAGAAATTTCTGTGACCTTATTCCTTAAATTATTGACAATAAGTTTGTTAAATTTTTTTTTTGTTTACTCTTATTATTTTTATATACGAAATATAATAAATAATTAAATTATGTCATAATTATATTGTTTTTTTTCTGTAATTTTCTTAGTAAAAAAATTTTTTTTCAAACAAAACAAAGTTTACTAATAATGTTTTATTTGAGTTTTAATTTTTTAAATTATGAAAATTAATGCGCAACCAGAAATTTAAAACTCTTGCGTGTCAATGCCCTTTTCAAGGACGAAAAATCAACAGCGTAATTCAAAATGCTTATAAATTGTAATTTTCTTTAAATTTATTCATTTATTTTGCAATAGTGAATATTTTACATTTTTAATTTTTTACAAATAATTTTATTAAATAAATAATGTAAATTATATAAATAATAATTTTTATATAATATTTTTGTATTTATTAATTAAATAAAATAATTTGTAAGTAAAAATTTTATAATAATAATAATTATTATATTTTTATAATTATATTTATTATAAATATATTATTATTATTATTATTATTATTATTATTATTATTATTATTATAAAATGATGAAATAATTTATTATTATTTAATATATAAATATATTCTTAATATATTTTTTTATTTTATAATTTTATTTAATTTTAATTATTTATTAGAAAAAATTTTCATTTACCGAATTTTACGGGCTTTTCCCGTATATTTTCAATGAATAAATTTTTATTTTACAAAATTTCTCTTTACCTGCAAAATTTTAATTAAACATTTTTAATATTTAATCGAATTTTATAATTTAGCACAATTCTTATTCAACAGAATTTTAAGTGTTTCGAATTTTTTAAATGTCATAAATTCCAATTCACCGAATATACATATATTGATAAAATTCTTAAGGCGCTAAATTTGCATTTGTCCGAAATTGGTAAATGACCGAATAAAAAATTAATCGAGAGATTTTGGCGCGATTTTTAAAATTGATCAATAATAAATTATCAAGGTAATTGTGATTGGTGAATTTTAAAAATTGCGCCGAAATATTTTTGCCAATTTTTTATTTCGATCATTTAAAATTTCGGACAAATGAAAATTTAGCGTCAGGAAAATTTTTTAAAATAATAATTTTTGCAATTAAAAATTATAACAAATAAAAATTCAGTAAATTGGAATTTTTGACATTTTAAAATTCAAATCACTTAAAATTCTGTTGAATCAGTGAATAAATCTAAATTAAAATTCGGTTAAAGAAAAATTCATATAATTCTTTAAAATAAAAATTCTATGAAATAAAAATTTTTTTAAAAGTAAAGTTAAAAAAAATTCTGTTGAATGCTAATTGGAAAAATAAAAATTTTGAAAAGTTATTTCCAAGAAGATTTAATAAAAATTCTAACTAATTATTTTAAGGAGAAAATAGATAGTTTTTGAATAATAAATAAGAAAAAAAAAGTATAAATTGTAAATTATAAAAATTTATTAATTAAAAAAAACTCGGAAAATTATTATATAATAATAAAATGCTTGGTCTGTCCTTCTGTCCTAACTTGAAGTTGGCCTTTTCTGATTTCACGTGTTTTTTTTGAATAGTAATCTTATGACGTGTCAAATTTTGACAATTCTTTTTCTTATTTTTGCCAAAGTTGTATAATTGTGTTTCCAAATTTCGGAATAAGTTTCTTTAAAATTCCAAATTTGAAAATTCAATTCACGAAGCTGAAGTACACAACGTTTACCAACGAAATTTTTTTTAAAATTGTATATTGATTCAAAAATTGTATACAAATACAAAAAATTTATGATGAAAAAAAAGATGCGCCAGGAAATTTCGTACAAGATAGTAATTTGAAAAAAATTTATTTTTAAAAATTAATTTTTAAGGTACCAAGGGCCAACGAATACCTATTAAATATTAATTATAAAAACACAGGCCTCGAATCAACTTAAAGACACAAAAAAGTCGTTTTAGTCGATTTATATTCCAAAAAAAAAGTGGATTTGTTTTTTATTTTAACAAAAATATTTTACAGATTTTTAAATAAAAATTTTTTTTAATAATAATCCTTTTCGCAGGGTTAAAGTTGAAATTTTTAGAAATAATTAAATTTCAAAAGATATATTGTTAATTTTCAAACAATTATTAAATTTTACAGAACTAAAAATAATTTATCAAACAATTTTTGGAAAACATTTTTTAAATTTAATTGAATTTTCAAAGATTTAAAATTGAGATTTTTAAAATTAATTGTTTAAGTGTTTTGTAATTAAAATTTTAGATGATTTCACTAAAAATTTATTAGAAAATGCGGACAAAATACAATAATTTGAAAATCATTTTTAATTGAAAAATGGTTTCAGATAGTTGAATTTTCAAAGAATATTATTAAAATAGTTAAAAATAATTGAATTTCCTTAGAGTTATAATTGAAATTATTAAATTTCAACAAAAAAATTTTCGATGGAAAATTTCAGAAATAATTAAATTTTAGATGCTTTTAAATTCAAATTATTGAAAATTCAATTAATTTTGAATTCAAATTTTTGAGAATAATGAAATTGCATTTGATTTTAAATTTGGAAAATAATTGAATTTTAATTCATTTTGAATTGAAAATTTTGGGAAATAATTGAATTTTAATAGAAATTTTAGAAAATAATTGAATTTTAGTTGATTTTGAATCGAAATTTTGGAAAATAATTGATTTTGACTTGAAAATTTTGGATAATAATTGAATTTCAATTAAAATTTTTCAAAATAATTGGAAATTCAATTAATTTTGAATTCAAATTTTCCAGAATAATGAAATTTTATTTGATTTAAATTTGGAAAATAATTGCATTTCAATTCATTTTGAATTTCAATTCATTTTGATATGAAAATTTTGGGAAATAATTGAATTTTAATTAAAATTTTGGATAATAATTTAATTTAAGTTCATTTTGGATTGAAAATTTGAATAATTAATTTTGAATAGAAATTTTAGAAAATAATTGAATTTTATTTCATTTTAAATTGAAAACTTGGTAAATAATTAAATTTTAAATTGAAAATTGTGGATAATTATTGGATTTTTAATTGATTTTGAATTAAAATTTCGGATAATAATTGAATTTTAGTTTATTTTGAATTGAAATTTTAAAAAAATAATTAAATTTTGGATGCTTTTAAATTCAAATTATTGAAAATTCAATTAATTTTGAATTAAAATTTTTGAGAATAATGAAATTTTAGTTTATTTTAAATATGGAAAATAATTGAAATTTTGGGAAATAATTGAATTTTAATTGAAATTTTGGATAATAATTTAATTTAAGTTCATTTCGGATTGAAAATTTGAATAATTAATTTTGAATAGAAATTTTAGAAAATAATTGAATTTTATTTCATTTTAAATTGAAAACTTGGTAAATAGGTAATTAAATTTTAAATTGAAAATTTTTGATAATTATTGAATTTTTAATTGATTTTGAATTAAAATTTCGGGTAATAATTGAATTTTAGTTTATTTTGAATTGAAATTTTTAAAAAATAATTCAATTTTATTGTGATATTTTTTTTTAAATTATAAACAATTGTTAAATTTCATAAAAATTTTAATTGAAAAAATAATTTTGATATAATCGAATTTGTGATGTATTTCATTAAAAATTTATTAGAAAATGTGGACAAAATACAATAATTTGAAAATCATTTTTAATTGAAAAATGGTTTCAGATAGTTGAAATTTCAAAGAATATAAAATTTCAAAAAAAAAATTTTCGATGGGAAATTTTAGAAATAATTAAATTTTAGATGCTTTTAAATTCAAATTATTTGAAAATTCAATTAATTTTGAATTCAAATTTTTGAGAATAATGAAATTTTAGTTGATTTTAAATATGGAAAATAATTGAATTTCAATTCATTTTGAATTGAAAATTTTGGGAAATAATTGAATTTTAATTGAAATTTTGGATAATAATTTAATTTAAGTTCATTTTGGATTGAAAATTTGAATAATTAATTTTGAATAGAAATTTTAGAAAATAATTGAATTTTATTTCATTTTAAATTGAAAACTTGGTAAATAATTAAATTTTAAATTGAAAATTTTGGATAATTATTGGATTTTTAATTGATTTTGAATTAAAATTTCGGGTAATAATTGAATTTTAGTTTATTTTAAATTGAAATTTTTAAAAAATAATTCAATTTTATTGTAATATTTTTTTTTTAATTATAAACAATTGTTAAATTTCATAAAAATTTTAATTGAAAAAATAATTTTGATATAATTGAATTTGTGATGTATTTAATTAAAATTATTAAAAATAATTAATTTAGTGAAGAATCATTTTAGTTCAAAATTTATTAAATAATTGAATTGAAGAAGATCTGAAGAAGATCTACATTTTATACTAAAAAAAATGTATTTTATTAACATTTTTTTTCAAATGTAAAAAAAATGTCGCATTTTATTAAAATAGTCGATAAAAGTCGTATTTTTGAAAAAATTCGGAAAAAGTATAATCCGAGGCCTGTAAATATATAATTTTCATTATTATCATTTAATATGTAATAATATTCTAATAAATTAAATTATTATTGATAATATTAATCTTTAATTTCTTTATAACAAACAATTAAATACTCAATTTGGCGCGCATTTAATTTTGCTAGTTAGAATAATAATGTTTTTAATTAAATATTGAAACAGACATTGGCTGAGGTGTTTCGCTGTTTTATTTGCATGGAAAAACTTCGAGATGCGCATCTTTGTCCACATTGTAGCAAACTTTGTTGTTACACCTGCATCCGACGATGGCTTACTGAGCAACGTTCTCAATGTCCTCATTGTCGAGCGTCTCTTCATCTTCATGAACTAGTAAATTGTCGTTGGGTTGAAGAAGTTACACAACAACTCGACACACTACAATCCGTTGGAATTTCAAATTCTCGTCCCGACGATTGCATTAGAGACAGGTTTTTTTTTCTTATTAAAAAAAAAATAATTATTTTTAAATTATAAGAAAATTTTTTTTATTTTCTTTAAAACCATTATCCAGGTGATAAAAAAATGAAATTAATAATTTGAATAAAAAAATTTCTCCTTTTTTTAACGTTACAAAATTTCAGATGTACGGTGCATCAGGAAAAATTATCAGTCTTTTGTTGGACATGTCGACGATGTATTTGCCATCAATGTGCTTTATGGGGTGGCACTCATTCTGGACACACATTCAAACCACTGGAAGAAGTTTATGAGGATCACGTCACACAAATCAAAACCGAAGTTAGACAATTAAAACGAAGACTCATGGAACTTATAAGTCTCGTTCAAGAAGTGGTAAATTTTTTTTTAATTTCCATTATAATTTAATTACTTTTTCAAATAATAATAATAAATTTGTTTGGAAATAAATAATAATTTAAGGAGAGAAATGTTGAATCCGTGAGAGCAGCAAAGGATGAAAGAGTTCGTGAAATTCGCAATGCCGTCGAATTGATGATAGCGAGATTGGATTCACAATTAAAAGCAAAATTATTAACTCTAATGGGTCAGAAAAATTCTCTAACCCTAGAGACTGAACAACTTGAGGCGTTACTACAAGAAGTTGAACATCAATTGCATACATGTACACGTTCTGAGCTTATAATCAAAAGTTCCGATCTCTCTGGAATGATTAATCAGGTTCGAAAGAAGCCTATGACAAGTTTTGTTACTGCTCCAGTTCCCGCCGATTTTCACAGGTATTTATTTTTTTTTTTTTTTAAATTTTCATTATATTGATAATATTTTTTTTTTTTAAATTTTTCCAGCGAAATTGTTCCTGGCTATGATAGTGCAACATTTGCGATGCAAAATTTCACACAATTACAATTAAAAGCGGATCCCGTTTATTCGGCGCCATTACATATTAATGGATTGTGCTGGAGACTCAAAGTTTATCCAGATGGAAATGGTGTTGTACGGGGAAATTATTTGTCCGTTTTTTTGGAATTAAGCGCCGGTTTGCCAGAAACTTCTAAGTGAGTTATAGAAATTTATATTTTTTCAAAACAGAAATCTATAATGAATTTTTTTTTCTACAGATATGAATATAGAGTTGAAATGATTCATCAGGGTTCGCAAGATACAAGTAAAAATATTGTACGAGAATTTGCATCCGATTTTGAAATTGGTGAATGTTGGGGATACAATCGTTTTTTTCGATTGAATTTACTTGCGACTGAGGGTTATTTAAATACCGAATTGGATACATTAATTCTTAGGTAATGAATTTAAATTACCATTTTATTTTTTCACAGTAAAAATAAAGTGAAATATTTTAAAGAAAATATTTTTACTTTTATTCCTAAGGTTTCAAGTACGTCCACCAACGTTTTATCAACGTTGTCGAGATCAACAATGGTACATTAGTCAATTAGTAACTCTTCAAAATCAATACGCAACGCAAATAAACGAACTCAAAGAGGTTAAACATTATTTTATATTCTACTTTTAATTTTAAAAATAGTATTTTAATTTAATTTTCTTTATAGAAGAAAAATATCAAAAATTCATTTTTTTGAGTACTTTTAATATTTTATTTTTATAGCGATTGGCGATTGAAATTTCAAGAAATACAGTAACTGCAACGAGAGCCTCGAGTGGACCTGCACTTAATAGTCCTTCTTCGGGAGGAAATGTGATTTCTCTAACGCAACAAACACAAGGTTCTGGAGATTTAACATTTGCCTCTGGTCTCATGAGAAACGTTGATTTTTCAACTCCCACTAGGTAATAGAAATAACAAAATCGTAATAGCAAAATCGTAATAAAAAAAATCAAGAGTTCATTATAATAATGGCCTTGAAAAAAAAAAACCGAAGCATTGCTGGTCACAGACAGACGTGGTTATATTTCTTATGAATTATGATACAGACGAATTCGAGGTCAAGTGAAGGAAACAGATAAAGTATTTTGGCACATCGAGATCTTTATAATCTCTGTTATGAAAAGAAAATATCTCGATCGTTGGCGAAAAGCGTAATTTAATCAACATTTACTAATTTAATTTATTTTTTATTATTTATTTTGTTTCTTTATTGTCTTCTTACAATTTTAACTTTTTACATTATTTTATTTTTTTTTTTTTATTTATTGATCTATTTTAATTTTTTCTTATGATGTGCTGTTAATTCCACTTTAACATTGATAATAGTTTTTATTATTTTTTAAAATTGATAACGCAGTAGCAAAACCAAAGAATCTGTATGCAGATTTCCCAAAAGTTCCTTTGCACAATAATAATAATAATAATAATAACAATGATAATAATAAATCTAAAAAATTTTAAACTAATTATCAACATAAAAATATAGTTGCAATAGAATTGAATTGAATTGAATGAAAAAAAAAATAATAATTTTTCCAGATCGGTGCAAAATATTTTAGGTAACGTAAATCAAACTGGTGTTCTTATTGAAAATCAATTATTATCATTATGTGAGCCAGGAAATCTTAATATTCGTCCAATTGGCTCAACGACAACATTATCCTCCGTTTCGTCAAAAACAAGTGCAAAGCAAACAATTAATTGTTCCACTGATTCTCCAACGGATGTTGAAAAAAATAACGATAGATCTGCCGGTGATTCTCAAATAGCTGGAATTAGATCTCCTTTAACTTCGCATTCTCCTTCAATTCATAATCAACAAATTAATGTCTCCTCTAGTAGTAGTAGCAGTGAATATGAGGTAAATTATAAGAGAGAGAAAAAAAATATATTAACAAACAAATTAATCAATTTCTATTTTATCTTAAAAATCTTGTATTTTTTCACATTCACAATTAATACAAAAAATGCACATTTCTTTGTCATCAAAAAAAAAACTAATTTTCAGGAAATTAGCGAACACGATATTTATTTAGATGAATGCGATAATAATGAGCCGAATCTCACTCTTCTCGATGATAATTCCAATGATGAAAATGACGTTGATGACGAAACAATGTCAGGTATTTTAACTAATTTTCTTTTTAATTATAACAAATTATCGCCTTAAAAATTATCCTTAAATATTAATATAATTAAATCAATTATAATTTCAAATCAACAAATTAACCTTTTTAAATAATATGGAAAAATTCTAATAATTGGATTGAATTTTTTTTCAAAAATTAATTCTTAATTAGAAAGCTGTTCGTCAATTGTCGAAGCAATAAATCATAGATGTTCAAAATTGGAAAGAAAATTTGAAATTGAAAAACCAACTAGTGAGAAACAAATGGAAAAAAATGCAAAAGAAATTACTCCTCCCAACAATTTATCAACTGGAATCTAAATTTTTTTTCTATAATTTATAAAAAAAAGAAAATTCTCCCTCAAAATAATTTTGTCTCATTGGAAAATTTCAAAAAAATATAAACTAATAATTTTTATTGAAAAAAAAAATAATTTTACATTTATTGAGAGTATTAAAAATATTAATTTCAGGTGAAAATGATGTTGAAGATGCTGAAACATTGATTCCCTGGATGATTAATAAAAAGGGAAAACATTCAGAAAATGTTGATATTAGTGAAGAAAATTGCAGGTATAATTTTTTTTGTTTGGTTTTTATTTCTAATTATTTTTAATTAATTTTTGTGAATATTTTAATTAGGTCACAAGGCAACGATAGTCAAAAGCAAAAATTAATGTTGATGCAATTATTCAAGATGCAAAATAGAAATTGGTTATTTCAAGGTCCACTTTATTTGAATCGTGTTTTGGAGGATCCATTGCAAGAGCAGGAGAAATATTTGTCGAAAATTGTCAAAGTTGAAAACAAATGGCAAAGTCAAGCGGAACTTGATTCATCGCCAGGCAAACAAAATTCAACATCATTTGCGCCACTTTGTAATATGATGAGATCAAGTCGTTTGGCTAATATTTGCCAATCGGAAAATGCTGGCATTCTTTTGCCTTGTCATCAAACTAAATCGGAACCAGTAACGAGATCTAATTCTATTGATTGTGACAAAGGCTTTCCCGATTTGCTTCTCAGGACGGAGTCGAGAAAAAATGATCGAGACGCTACAGAATTACTTGATCTCACAATTCCCAGCGGTTAGTCATTTTTTCCAAAAATTTTTTAACATTTTTCGAATTTTCATTTTTCAAAATTTTATGTAATTAATTAAACTAAACGAAAAAGAAGTATTTGCTAGTCACATACAAACGTGATTTTAAACCCTCATGAATCGTGATAGACGAATTCGAGGTCAAGTAAAGGAAACAGATAAAATATTTTGCACAATCGAGACCTTTATAATCTCTGTTATGAAAAGAAAATATCTCAATCGCCGACGAAAAGTGTAATTTAAACAGCATTTATTAATTCAATTAATTTATTATAATTTATTTTTCATTTGCCAAAATATTCAATACACGGGTCCATCAGACCCATTGTGCCATTTACGTTCGAATTGTGCCAGTTAAGGGTTAAGATTATTAAAAAAAAAGATAGTGGAACATTAAAAATTTTTCAAATATTTTCCATTAATTAAATAATTAATTGTTTTAATTGCAGTAGTTTTGACTGACAAGGAAAGTCCAATGCACTCAACTGCAAGACGTTTGTCATCGCCACTAACAACAAATTTAAATTTAGAACCTGAAAACAGTGAAATTTTCGAGTTTAAACAATTACTCGATACAATTCAATTTTCTTCATTACCACAAAAAGACACCAAATCAGGAATCACCAAAAAAAAGTATTTTTTTTTCTCTTAAATCACCAATTTAAGGTATCACAGCGGCACTAATCGGAGTCAAAAGTTTGTAGCTCGCATTACTACTTCCCGCACTATACTTTCGCCCTCAACTCCCTATACTCTCAGCCCATACTGTACCTACTTCTACAAATACACTCGTACACGTATACCCCACACTAGCAGCGATTGGAAGGAGTAGGAGGTTTGACAACGTCGCTTTAAGTCTCGCTTTGACTACTGTGGACTACTGTCTCTCTCTAACTAATGTTACCATCCTGCGATGTTGCCACATCAAAGTGGCGGGTGTGCTATATATTGCAAATGACGTCATGAAATAGAATTTTTAATTTATAATTACAAATAAACGGCACGGTAAATTATAAATTTCTTTGTATATTTTAGTTCCAAATTTATTCGTGAATTCAACATTAGTTTTTGAAAAAAATTTATAGAAAACTTCTGATGATATTTATGAAAATGTACTTCTCCCCCATACATTAGTCCCGTCTCCCATGCAAAATAAGCAACTTTGATTGCTAATATCTCTGGTTTCGTACGGCGAAAATTCTTCATATTTTGCAAATTTGTCAAGAATGATAATAAAAACATATGGTAAAATTTTCAAGAAAATCTATAGAAAACGGTTTTACCGATGTGATACCTTAAATACTCAAATTTTACCATAAAAAAAAAAAAAAAAAAAAACTTTTTCATGAAAAAAAACATTTTTATTATTCTAAAATATTAAATACTGAAATTATATTATTTTAAAATAGAAATTGTGTTTTTTTTGCAAAGTAGAAGAAATAAATTTCAAAAGTTACTATTTTTTTTTTTATTTGATTTTAGAAAAAATTGCTTACAAAAAAGGCCAATTTTCTTGCCAAAATTTGATGATCAAGCTCCATGTAGATCTCCGTCCGATAATATTGAGTGCATTCCACATTCGAGTAATTTTAGTTGGGTGCCACCTTTATTTCAACACGCACACGGTAAATTATAAGAAATTAATAGGCAATTAAATTAATTAATTTTTTAATAATAATAAATACGATTTTTTTTTCTTTTAATATAAAATTAAAAATTAAGTTTTTTCGATTTAGAAAATAATCGAAACATTGCTGTTACACAAGTAATTATTTTCCATTATTTTCTTAAATCGAAAAAAATTTTTATTTAATAATAATAATATATTTTTATTGAAAATATGGCTAATAATAATAATAATACTGCCGTAGAAAGTAAAAAGTAATCCAAAGTTGTTTACGGCCTTTTTACTTTTGACGGTAGAATAGTAATGGTTATTGAAAAATTTATATTTTTAGGTTCCGATTCATCTCCAAGTTCTTCCAGTCACGCATCAAATATAACTAGTCCTACTAAGTGAGTGAAAATAAATTTGAAAAAAATTGTTTTTACTAAAAATCTTATAATTCAATAATTATTTTAATTTAATATATTATTAATAATAATTTTAATAATTTTTTCAAAATTTCAGGACTCTTAAGGACATGAACTCACCGTGATATAAATATTTAATCTAAGATCTCGAAAAAAAAAATTATTCGCATTTGTAAATACATAAAAAGATCAAAGATCATTTTCTAAAAGAAATTTCTAAAATTTTTAAATATTTAATTTTTATTTTCCTTTTTCGACGAATTGTATTTTTTTTTTTTCTTTTTAGTTAAAAAAAAACTTAAACAATGAAAAATTATCAACATTTTCATTTAAATATCAAAATCTCATTTAATACTCAAAATCAGTATTTTTATTTTTTTACTTTCACATTTTTTATTCTATAAAAAAAAAATTAAAAATACTTCCTGTTTTTTTTTTAACATTTTATTATTTCAATGTCATACAATTATTTTATATCTCAATGTTGCTTTTATTTTGACAATAATTTGCAATTAAAAGGAAATTGGGGGGAGGGGAAAGAGTAATGTGAAAATTTAAAGTTTGCAACAGTATTTTATAGGTTTACATTTTTAGTAAAAGTATAATACTCGAGAAATTGTATTTGACATTTTTAAAATAAATTAGTCAATAATATTTACAGTTGTTTATAATATAAGAAAAGAATTCTCACTAGTTTATATACCTTAATGAAAGTTGCTTACAATATAAATGTTAATAAAAAGTACTTGTTTATTGTAAAAGTACTTTCTTTATACAGTTACGGAAAATTTTTCTAATTAAAAGAGAGAGAAAAAAAAATGTGTTATGAATTTACGCTGATTTTTAGCGAATAATATATTTATCCTTACAATTATTGTAAATCGTAGAAGAAAAAACATTTAACTAAAAAAATTGTAATAAACTTTTTTTTTGAGATTCGAAATGACAATTAGGGTAAAAATCTTTTTTTTTTTTTTTCAAACGACAAAAACAAAAATTTATATATTTTGTTTCAACAATCAGTATTAATAAAGAGAAAATTAACTCAAACTTCTTTGTTATTTTTTTTTACGCAAAAAAAAAACTTAATACACTTCTTTCAAATTAGCGCAATATTTATTCGCTTTTTTTTTGAAAATGAACCTTTTTTCTGGACCCTAATGTCAAATAATACCAATTATTTTTTACCTTAAAACAAATTATGATTTTATTGGAACGCATAAATTAGTTCTAAAAATCAAGAATTTACCTAAAAATCATTAAACAGATTTTTTAATTGATAGAAATTTCATTTGTCCGAAATTGATAATGACCGAACGAACAAACAATCGACAGAAAGATTTCGGCGCGATTTTTAAAAATCAACCAATCACAATTTTTGAGAATAATTTTTGATTTTTAAAAATCGCGCCGAAATCTTTCTGTCGATTGTTTGTTCGGCCATTTGCAAATTTCGGAAAAATGAAAATCGGTTTAATAAAAATTCCGCAATTTGAAATAAAATTCGGCTCAATGAAAATTGTATATATCTAGTTCAATTAAATAAAACTTTTAACTAATGAATTTTAGAATTTATTCTTGCTTCTTACAACTCAGTAAATAAAAGTGAACATTCCTGGTTTTTAAAACATTGATTAGTTGCTGAAAAAAAATTTTCATTTTGCCAGCAAAAAGAATAGTTTTAATTATGAAAAAAATTAGTGTTTAGTCTGTCAGTGCAATTTTTCAACTAAACAATAATTGTTACTAATAATTAAATAAAAATTATGCATATATTCACAACAAATAAAAATAATATCTATCAAATAAAATTTCTTGTAATTGGAAAATTGCATTGTTTTTTTTTTGTATTTTTTCTTTTTTTTTTCTTTTGATAAACAATATTACATTATTATTATCAGTGTGTGTGTGTATGTCATCACAAAATAAAAACTATGTACAAACAACGACTACGAATATTCTTAGAATAATTCAGGTAACATTCCAACTTTTACAAAAAGCAGTAAAATTTTGTTGTTGAAAAGAAAAATCAATCTTTCACAAAAATTGAATAGAAATAATTTTCTAAGATGATTATTATTTTTATTTATTTTTTTGTTTGTGAATGCAAAAGAGACGAAATTTCTAACTTTGATGGAATTTTGTACTTATAATAATTATATTACTCTTTAGATTCAGGTTGTTATTAAACTATTTCGAACTTCTGCATCCTCGGGATATTCTGCGGTTTTTTCCGCGTTTGGTGTATAATGTGTTCCATTGAATTCGCAGAAATACCTTCCAATTTCAAAGTTGTTTATCCACTGAGGTGTAGACAGAATTAACAAATTTTCTGCAAATTAAATTTGTTTTTTTAAAAATATATTTAATTCTTTAAAAGTTAGCATTTTCTTTAAAAGTATTATTTTTTATATTAATATTTTTTAAACTAATTTTGAAATAGCAGAATTTTCATTTTATCAAAATTTTATTTGTACGAATTGTCGTTTTGAGAGAATTATCAAATTACCGAATTTTCATTTGACCGAAATTGCAAATAGCCGAACAAAAAATCGGACAGAAAAAATTTGGCGGGAATTTTAAAATTAATCATTCCGAAATAATTGAGAAAATTGTGATAAATTAATTTTTTTAAATTTCCGACAAAAAATTTTCTATTCGATATTTGTTCGGTCATTTGCAATTTCGATTAAGTGAAAATTTGATATTTTAAAATTCCAATCAAATGACAATTCGAACAAATAAAAAATCTAGAAAATGAAATTTCGGTGAAATAAGAATTTTGGTATTTAAAAATTCTGTCAAATGTGAATTTTGCTAAATGGAAATTTGGTTAAATTAGAATTATTTTTAATAATAATTTAAATAAATAAATAAATTTTCTGCAAATTTATAAACTGCTGTAGTGCTTTTTTTAATTTCTGACAACAATTCAATTTTAGAGTTTTTATTTGAAACTTTTTTAAATAATTGAATTCTTAAAGAAATATTAAATTTTTTAAAAATAATTGATCTTTGGATTAGTTATAGTTGAAATTTTGGGAAATAATTAATTTTCAAAAGATTTTGTTAAAATTCAGACAATAATTAAATTTTAACGAATTGAAAATAATTTATTACATAACTTTAGATATTAAATGTTTATAAATAAATAAGCAGTTTTTAAAAGTAATTGAATTTTTGAAGAATATTATACAAAAATTTCTTTAAGGCCAGGTCCAAGTGAGGCAGCGCCATCTACATTGAAACTAAAATTTTGGAAAATTTTCAACAGCCTTTTCTTGAAAACAAGATGGTAAAATGCTTTTTCCTATATGGATAATTGATTATTGGCAAGATATACACCAGCTAAAACTTTTTTTGAGTTAAAATAATAAAAAAAATTTCATGTCAATAAATTAAATATGAGCACTTTTTTCACAAAAACTGTAACAGTACTTTCTCAGAAATTACAATCAAAAATGCAATTTCTATTTGGAAAATTAATAAACGCTAAAAAATACACGACCTAAGATTTACCAATCACGAAAATAAGAAAAAAAAATTTTATTAAATATTTAACATATTGATACTGCTTTACTGATTGTGACAGCCCTTTGGTAGATTATGTATTTCAGGTGGTTAGCAACAGCGCCAATCTCCTCCTTTCGGCAAAACTGCGAAACGTCTGGTGACATATATAACCTGCCAAACGGCTGTCATAATGAGTAAAATATGTTATGTTAAAATACTTTTTTTTTCTTATTTTCGTGATTGGTAAATCTTAGGTCGTGTATTTTTTAGCGTTTATTAATTTTCCAAATAGAAATTGCATTTTTGATTGTAATTTCTGAGAAAGTACTGTTACAGTTTTTGTGAAAAAAGTGCTCATATTTAATTTATTGACATGAAATTTTTTTAATTATTTTAACTCAAAAAAAGTTTTAGCTGGTGTATATCTTGCCAATAATCAATTATCCATAAAGGAAGAAGCATTTTACCTTCTTGTTTTCAAGAAAAGGCTGTTGAAAATTTTCCAAAATTTTAGTTTCAATGTAGATGGCGCTGCCTCACTTGGACCTGGCCTTAAAATCATTAAATTTTGGAAGAGTTACAGTTGAAATTTTTAGAAATAATTAAATTTTAGAAGGCTGTAAATTGAAATTTTTGAAAATAATTGAATTCAAGTGATTTTGAATTGAAATGTGAGTTGAATTAAATTTTCGAAGAATATTATAAAAATCATTTAAAATAATTGAATTTCAGAAGAGTTAGAATTAAAATTATTAAATTTCAAAAAGTTTTAGATGGAAAATTTTTAAAATAATTAAATTTTAAAAGATTTGAAATAGAAATTATTTGGTAATTTTATTTGATTTTTTTTTTTGAATTGTAAACAATTGTTGAATTTTATAAAAATTTTAATTGAAAAATAATTAAAGATAATTAAATTTGTTTGAAGAATTTCATTAAAATTATTAATAATAATCAATTTAGAGAAAAATTTGCTAAATAATTGAAATAAAGAAGATCTGAAGATCTGCATTTTATACTAAAAAATATGTATTTTGTTTAGAAATTTTGTGAAAAATATTTTTAAAAAAGTCGAAAAAGTCGTATCTCATTTAAATATGTCGAGAAAAGTCGTATTTTCATAAAAAAAAGACAGAAAATGTCGTATAATCCGAGGCCTGAAGTAGTTATAATTTTAAATATAAGGAGAAGATTTTTTTGAAAATTAATTATATTTATCTTTTGAGATAATTAATATAGTTAACAATAATAATAATTTGTCAAACCTTGAGCAACGTAGCGAGAAGAGCCGTCATCAGCAAAAACATTGTAAAATGGTTGATGAGAGCCGCCTGATAATTCCTCAACCCCCATTTCATTCATCCACTCGAGTGAGGCTTCACATCGAGCATCCCATCCAGTTATTACGCACGTGTACTCGTATCTTCGGTGCTTCATTATCATTCCTATCGCATATTTCACTTCCGGTTTTCTTCTTTTTACTTCAATTATTTCCTGTAAACAAATGGGAATAATGTTAAATTTATCAAAATTTTTGCCAACGTTTTTTTTTCTAATTAATTTTAATTAATTTAATAATTAATAAAAAATTAATTTAATAATTAATAAAAATTAATTTAAAAATTAATAATAATTAATTTTGAAAAAAAATAATAATAATAATAAATTAAATTACTTCTCGCACAACGTTCATGTGATTTTCATAGTCTTGTAACATTCTTAAAATACTGCAAGCTGGTCCTCTTGAAGAAAGCTCTGAACCCTGCGTAAAATAAATGAAATCCAATGAATTTTATTTAAATTATTTCATTTTTTATTTACTTTAATATAATGCTAAAATAATGTTTTTTGTTGAAAATAATTCTTTAATGTTGAAATGGGGGATTTTTTTTTCTAAATTAAATTTACCTCCTGTATTCGATTTAAAACATCGACTAATTTCGCCAAATCCATTTGATGGAGCATGTAAAATCGAGCCAAATCTAAAATTGTTGCATTATCATAAGGACGAACCATGTGCATTAGTTCCAATGCAGATCGTAATCGTGATGCTCTTCCATTTAAGTACGTGCATTGTCTAGCGGCAACTTCTAAATTATTCGCCATTCTTTGCACAACCTAAAAAAAAATTATTATTGCATTTTTTTTTTAATTTATTTTTTTTTTAAATTATTATTTCAATTTTACTTTTTTTTGAATACAATTTTTTTTCAAAATTTTAAAATAAATTTCGAGGTGAAAAGGTGAAAAAAATAATTATTTTTGTAAGAAATAAAATTGATAAATACTTCGACTGCAGTTGCGGCATTTAGAGAATTGTAACATTCCATTGGATACATCGAAAGTCTTCCAATGCGAGGACAATTATTCTTTGTTAAAAATTGACCGGTGAACACGTCAATGTAGAAAATTTCCACATCTTCTGTTTCTGGAACGTTACTGTAAAAATATCCGAGAAAAAAAAACATTAATTCCTACTTTAATGGACGTAAATTTTCAATTTTTCCCCCAACAAATCTCGATTCAAATATAAAGGAAATTAAATTTTCGGTATATTTTATAAAAAAATTCCCCGACATTTCAAAGTTTTCTATAACTAAAAAGAATTTCCATGACAATTTATATAGAGGGAAAAAAGTGAAATTTACGACACACAATGAAAGAGAGAAAAAGAATAAAATGAAAAATTTTCAAGACGAACTATTTTTCTTTCCAACGAAGAAAGAAATGAGCTGGTGAACTAACGGGTTCACATCTAACGCCAACTCTTCTTGCAACACTTTCAAAAATAATGGCAATTGTAATTGGAATTCCATGTTTTCTCTCTAAAACTTGATCAATGAAAGAATTTTCCGATGAGTAATACATTTCCGATGTGCAATACATTTCGCTGTCACCTTGAAATCCAAGTCTATTGAACATTATTTCACGAAGCGCTGCAATCACTTGTCGTGTTCTTGTTCCGGACCATTGATTATCGTCAATATTTTTCATTCTCCAATGTCGAAATTGTTCAGCTGGCAGGGAAAATAAAGGATGCTGTGGATGTTGTTCTTTTAATACTGATTTTGTTCGTTCAGCAATTTCATCCAATTGAGAGGAAACACATGAATAATTAACATATTTCTCAGGTTGACTCCATTGTGCAACAAGAACAGCGCCACGTTCTAATATTTGTTCTCGTGGTGGTAAATTTGTAAATTTTTGCCATTCCTCAGTTAAACGATATTGTCGCATATAGCGCGCAACTTTATGCGCATAATATTTATCAGTTAAATTACTATTTCTGTAAAAGGAAAATATCAGTTCAGTTTTATTTAAAAATTAAAATTTTTTCTATTTTTTTTTTTCTAAAAAAGAATTAGTTTGAAAAAAATAAACAAGGAATGCATCAATTTTTCCTCCATACTGAATTTGTGGGAATTTCCAGAATTTCGAAATTAATGACGAATTTTTTGAATTTTATAAAGTAGAATTTATATTGAATTGAATTTTCATGTTTAAAAATTTTTATTTAGCCGAATTTTTATTCGATTCTTTAGTTTACCAAAATTTTTATTCAATATAATTTCTATTTAACAGAATTTTCATTTTCCAAAATTTTAATTTAAAAATAATTGTTTTGTAATCTAATTTTCATTTAGCAAAATATATTTCGAATTGACATTAAACCACAAGAAAAGTCGATTTACATTTGAAAAAAAGTTAATTTTTTATTTTAATTCAGAATCGAATAGGATAAATTTTCAAAAATTTTAATTAATTAGGACAAAATTCTAAAAAAAAAAAAATTCTATAAGTTCCATTTCTAAAATTCTTTTGAATTCTCATTTCATTAATTTCAAATGAAAATTTGTGAAATAATTATAAATTTCACAAGATTTTTAATTAAAATTTCAAAAATATTCAAATTTTCAAGAGTTTCTTTTCAAATTTTTGTAAATAATTGAACTTCAGGAGATTTTCAATTAAAAATTTTATAAATTTGAATAAAAAATTATTTTTACAAATTTCATACAATAATAATTGAATTTTGAGAATTTTCATCTGAAATATGTTCTAAATAATTGAATTTTAATGGAGTGATTATTGCATTTCAAAAATTATAATTTTGTTGTAAATATAAACATTAATTAAAAAAAAAATTTAAATAATAAAATTCTTGAAAAATTGAATTAAAACTATTGAAATAATTAATTAAACAAAAAATTATATAGATAAAAATTTAGAAAAAAAAATTCTCAATTCAATTAACATTCAATTAATTATTAAATTGCTAATTGAATTTGAAAGAGTTCGAGTTAAAATTTTTTTCGATGTAATTAAATTTCAGAAGATTTTAAATAGAAACTTTCATAAATTTTAATTGAATAAAATTATTTTTGCAAACTTTAAATATTAATAGAATTTTAGAGTATTTTTATTTAAAAAACTTTTTATTTTTTTAATTTAACAAATTAAATCAGCGGAGAATTTTAAATAAAATTTTTGGAAATAATTGAATCGTAGAGAATTACAGAGAATTTTCAATTGAAAAAATGTTATAAAAAAAATATTGAATTTTCGATTTTTGAAGTTTTCAATTAAAATTTTAATAAACTTGAATTATTGAAATTTTTAAATAATTATATAAACATAAATTTAATTTTAAAGAATTAATATAATTAAAAAACGTTTTATGTAATTGAATTTTTGAAAAACTTGATTAAAGTTATTAGAAATAATTAATTCAAAAAGAAATTAAAATTGAAAATATCTATTTTGGAAAATTAATCCAAAAATATCAATAATAATTATTTTTATTTTTAAAGAAGAAAAAATACGTTAAATCTAATGGCAAAAATACCTACTTTGTAAAATTAATCCAAAAAATGAAAATATTAAAAATTACTGTCTTGAAACAGAAAAAATACGTTAATCCTATATAATTAATTGAAAAAGAAATGGAAGTTAAAAATTTGAGAAGTAGTTAATTTTTGGAAGAAAAATAGTTAAAATTTTTGAATTCTCATTTAAGCAAATTTATTCGATATCAAAATATTATTTAAAAATTTCGACAAAATTATATTTAAAGCAACTTTTTTCAAGGAATTTAATGGTAATAAAAAAAAAAGTTTTTTGACCACATTTTAAATTTTATGTTTCGCAAAAAAATTAAAAAAAAATTTCAAATATTTGAAAAAAAAATTCGGCTATTGAAAATTTTGATTTTTACTATTTTTGAAGCATTTTTTTTTAAAAAAAAAATTAGTTTTCAGGCTATAATTGCTTAGAAATATTACAATTATTAATTTTTTTTTTTTTTTAAACTCATTTTTTTTTTTTATCGAAACTTTATTTTGTCGAAAGTTTCATTTGTACGAATTGTTATTTGAGAAAATTTGTCGAATTACCAAATTTTTATTTCACCGAAATTGCAAATGACCGAATAAATAGAAAAAAGTTTTGGCGCGAATTTTAAAATTAACCTATCAGAAATAATCAAGAAAATTTTGATTTATTTTTATAATTCTCGTACCAAAATTTTTTTCTGTCGTATATTTTTTCGGTCGTTTGGAATTTCGGTCAAATAAAAATTCGTCATTTTCAAAATTTCTAGAAAATTGACAATTCGTAGGAATAAAAATTGTTGTAAATAAAGTTTCAATGAAATAAAATGTTTATGCGTCCAAAAAAAAGAAAATGTTAAACTATGATTAGCGTGTAAAAAAAATACATTTAAAAACAGAGACTATTGTATGAAAATAAAAAAAAATTCCTTACAAGTCTGATTTTTTTATCAGGTCAGTGAGTTCGTCAACGCAAAAATGATAAGCGAGATGATGAGAGCCTTCATCTGGACGGAAAAGAGGATCAAAGTCCTTTAATTCTGAATGTGAAAGCTCTTGTTTTCTGTAATTTTTTCCTGACATTTCAGACAAACGTCGCATCAGTTCACTTCTTGTTGCAATGCTCGCTTTTATTTCATCTAACCAATTTTTTATTTTTGTTTCATGCTTCTCATAGCTTTCGTATGCTTCTTTCAAGAGGGGCCATCTATGGAAAAAAAATTTAATAAATTATTTCATTCAAATAATCCGTTATCAAATAAATATTAACTTGAACCAAATATTTTTTTTTTTCTTAATTAAATAATTAATTCAATAATTTCTGTTATTAATAGTCAACCGTTTATTTAAATCAAAATAATTTTTTTTCTCAATGTATAAAAATTGAACATGAATTTCTTTATCAAAAATAAATTCAATATTTACAAAAAAAACTAAACGACGATTTGTTATCAAGATCGAAATTCTTTTCAACTATTTCACATTTTGTTTCCAAAGAAAATTTCTTATCTTCAATATTTCACATTTTTAAATTTTTCTTATCAATTAGATGAAAGCTATTGTAAAATATTTCAAATACAATTTCTTTTATATAGAAAATATTTTAATTTCCATGTAAAAATATTTATCAGAAAATAATAAATAAAACTTGTTTGTGATAAAAAAAAAAAAAAAATTTCTCTAACAATGGTTTTAATTTTAAAATAATACAATTTTTTTTAGTTAAAACAATTATAAGAGAAATTTTTTTAAAATTTCAGATAAACAATTTTTTCAATTTAAATTTTCAAAATAGAGAAAAGAAAATGATTAAAACTATTTTAAACATATGTTTGAATTATTGCACAAAATGTGTTCATTCATCTATTTATAACAATTGTATTCTCTAGAAAAAAAAAACACTAAACAATATACATTCGAAACACATACGACATGCTATAGATAAGATAATAGAGGTTATGATACAAATTAATGTGGAATTTTTGTCATTTTAATTTTTACATTTTAAAATTATTTGAAAAATAAGAAATTCTTACCTTTGAAAAAATTTAATTCTCCATAATTTGTTGCTAAAAAAAACAGTTCTATGTAGATGTTTACAGGTCCTGGCAAAATTGACAACATCAACAAAATTTAGATTCTCATTTTCCAATATAACTTCAATTACTTCGTTTGGTAAAAATGTGATTAGAACATCTTGCTCCATTTTCATTGATTTAAGAGGAAAAACTAATTTTTTAGAAAACAATCACAGATTTACGCATAAATTTAATCCAACTAATGTGACGAAAAAAAAAAATGACTCAGTATACTGCCGATTTATATACACACATTAATAAACACAGCTGATGCGGAACGTCAAATTGTCAACACACGACTGCATGATGACTTACATTTTTATTGATAATGAAGAAAACTACGTTTACCGACAAAAAAAAGTTTTTAATTCCAACGTCGACAGACAGAGGGACAGAGAATTTTTAACTAGATTTTTCTCGTCTCTTGACCTAGTATAAACTATATAAAATCCATTCCTATTTTATAGTTTGTCAAAATAGATTTAATAAATTTTTTTTATATTAAAAATTAATTATTAAATACGAACTTCTATTCAAATCGCGCTATATATTTCGATTGGGAATATGTAATTTTTAAAAACTAAGCAAAAGGCAAAGTTGCCACGGGTCAGGGAAATCATGGAAAAGTCAGGGAAAGTGAGATTGGTCAGGGAAATAAGTCGGTATAGATTCTACACAAATAAACCCTACACGAGAAAATTGCGCACCGATAATTTTACAAAAAAAAATCCTACACTTGGACAATAAGCAAAAATAAAATTAATTAACAATTTTTTACTTTACACAATTAAATCGCAAACATAATTTTATTCTACACATTCAATTGCACACAGGAAAACCCTATACACCGTTAACTCTGAAAAAAAAAATTCTACACAATAATATGCGGAATAAAATTTAAAAACAAATAATAAAAATTCTAAACGATTAAATACTACAAAATATAACCGTACAAATTAAATTGCACTCAGGAAAACCCTACACGATTAACTCCTGCACAAGAAGATTCTGCACCTTAATACCTAATAACCAGAATAAAATTCTGAAATAAAAAATTTATTTTTAATAATCCTATACGATAAATTGCACATAAAATAATTCTACAATTTTGCAAATAAAATTCTACAGTATAATATATATAATTTTTTTTTTTAATTAATTTCAATAGTTTTAATTCAATTTTTCAAAAATTCAATTATTTAAATTGTTTTTTAATTAATGTTTATATTTACAACTAAATTATAACTTTTGAAATCTCAAAAAAATGAAATAATTTCTAAAAATTATCACTCCATTAAAATTCAATTATTTTGAACATATTTCAGATGAAAATTCTCAAAATTCAATTATTATTGTCTGAAATTTGTAAAAATAATTTTTTATTCAAATTTATAAAAGTTTCTATTGAAAATCTCCTGAAATTCAATTATTTCCGAAAATTTGAAAACAAACACTTGAAAATTCTAATATTTTTGAAATTTTAATTAAAAATCTTCTGAAATTTATAATTATTTCACAAATTTTCATTTGAAATTAATGTTTTTTTTCAATAATATTTTAATCAAATTCTTCGAAAATTTAATTATTTAAAACATTTTCCAAAATTCTGAATTCGAATAATGTGCATAAATCAGACTTGAATTTTTTTTTTAATGTAGGGTAAATGTACTAATTACGGCGCGTTTCTAGTCAAAATACCTTTGAAATAGAAAATTCGACATTTCTATTGTATAAAGTAAATTTAAGACTTATTAAACTAAAAGCTTATATTATATAGATATTTGAAAAAAATTTAAACTTTATAAAAATCGATTATTTAAACAAATATGAGAAATTAAAACTAATACCGTAATTTTCTATTACGGTGCGTTTGTATTAGTTTTGGTGTATCAATTTCGGTGACCAAAATTACGTGTATTTTGAAGATACTTTGCCCGCCGTAATTGAAACCAATGGAAATCTTAAAAATGTTTCAATTACGGCGAGGAAAAAAATTTGATCTCAAATAATGAAATTAATAATTGTTTAAATATGCATCTTTATAAGTAATTGTATCAAAAAAAGATTAAAATAATTTTTTTTTAATCATTTTGCAACAGTTATATTAAATATACAAGTAATAATAGTTATTTTTTATCAACTTTAATGAAATTTAAATTATTATTTTTGATGTTATTGATGTACTCGCCGTAATTGGTACACTTATCCTAACTTTAAATTTTTGAAAATTTGTTTCGAAAGTGAATTATTGGAATTAATAAATTTTATTTAATTTCTAATAACATATTGTTACTAATAATAAAATATTTATCAACTAATTAAAATTGAAAATAAACTAGGTTCTCATTTCATGACCATTTAGCTTCCTCATCGCACTTATATTCAAGATTAAAAGAAGGATTACAACTAAAATAGCGATCAATTTTATAAATATTAGTAAAATGTAAACTTTGTATATCTCAATCGATTCGTTTTTATGCCAGGAAAGCAATTTTGACAAGAATTAATTAAAATTTTTATATCAGAAAAAGTTATTTCAAAAAATACAAAAAACGATTATTTTCAAAAATTCAAAAAAAAAATGATTTAATCTATAGATTACAGTAAAATATGAACTTCATATATGTCAAATTATAAATTTTTTGATGTTTAGAACCTGTTTGAAAAAAGTAATTTTATGGTTATTTTCTATACATGGGTCAATCCGTTATATTTCGAATGAAGTCGTCGCTGGCTAATTTTTAAAAATTATAATACTTTGCAGGAATGATTTTGAAGTTATCAAGATCACGAAATGAAAAGAATTTTATTAAAATTTTAATTATTTATTGGAAAATATGAATTTAAAGTAAATGAGGTGCTGAAAACTGTCAATTTTTTAGCCATTAAAAAATATGCAAAAATACGTAGAATTTACCATAAAAATAAAAAAAAATTGTTGTAATTTACTAAGAATGAATAAATTTATCATTATCAATTGATATAATTATTTAAATATGTGAAATAATATATAAAATATGATTTTCAAGTTCACCTGTCAAATAACCTAAATTTGCAAATTTCATCTATTAAATGTGAGAAAGAGAAGTCATTAAATTGAAAAAAACCTTACCAAATATAAAGTACCTGTGACTAACTTTTAATTTTTCTTAGCACTTTTTTCCTTTTTTCTTCATAAATGTGAAATAAAAAGCAATAAAAATTAATTGATAATGATAAATTTATTCATTCTTAGTAAATTACAACAATTTTTTTTTATTTTTATGGTAAATTCTACGTATTTTTGCATATTTTCTAATGGTTAAAAAATTGACAGTTTTCAGCACCTCATTTACTTTAAATTCATATTTTGCAATAAATAATTAAAATTTTAATAAAATTCTTTTCATTTCGTGATCTTGATAACTTCAAAATCATTCCTGCAAAGTATTATAATTTTTAAAAATTAGCCAGCGACGACTTCATTCGAAATATAACGGATTGACCCACATACATTATTGCTGGTTATAAAATGACTCATTTCAGTTAGTTCATTTGTTCTTGAAACTGCACGTCAGCCATTTCAAATTTCGTAAAAAAAATATTTCGAAAAAAATTTCTCCTTACTATAAGAATTGTTTAGCCCGCTTGAAACTCCTAGGATTGGTTCTACATATTGGTAAGAATTTATGGTAAAAATTTGAGAGAAAAACAAGTTGTAAATTCAGATGTTCATTACATGAACATTTTGCTTCCTCTTTACGATCAGCAAAAAAATTTGCTTCCTCGTGGAGAAAGCAAAGTTTTATTGCTAAAATGAGAATTTCTGATTTTTAAACTTTCATTAATTCTTTAAATTTACCTCAAATGTATACTTCATATATATCGAGCTAAACTAGAAAACAAATTCGGAAAAATTTTCGAAAAACTTAATTCGCGGGATAATCGTTCGGGAATACCACCAATAAATTAGGGAAAAAGTTTCGAACAAAAAATTTATGGCGCACTTTTTGATTGGTCCAGCGGATGCTGAGCTATAATAGAAAACAAATTTGGAAAAATTTTCGAAAAATTAAATTCGCGAGATAATTGTTCGGGAATACCGCCATAGTGATTAGAAGAAAGTTCTGAACAAAAAATGTATGGCGCACTTTTAGATTGGTCCAGCGGATGCTGAGCTACACTAGAATACAAATTTGGAAAAAATATAGAAAAATTAAATTTGCGAGATAAACGTTCCGGAATACCGCAAATAAAATGGGGAAAAAGTTTCGAACAAAAAATGTATGACGCACTTTTTGATTGGTCCAGCGGATGCTGAGCTACACTCAAAAATATTTTGGAAAAATTTTCGAAAAATTAAATTTGCAAGATAATCGTTCGGGAATACAGCCATAGTGATAAGAAGAAAGTTCTGAACCAAAAATGTATAGCGCACTTTTAGATTGGTCCAGCGGATGCTGAGCTACACACAAAAATATTTTGGAAAAATTTTCGAAAAATTAAATTCGCGAGATAATCGTTCAGGAATACCGCCAAATTCTTTAGCAAAAAGTAGCGAACAAAAAATGTATGGCGCACTTTTTGATTGGTCCAGCGGATGCTGAGCTACACTAGAATACAAATTTGGAAAAAATATAGAAAAATTAAATTTGCGAGATAAACGTTCCGGAATACCGCCAATAAAATAGGGAAAAAGTTTCGAACAAAAAATGTATGGCGCACTTTTTGATTGGTCCAGCGGATGCTGAGCTACACTAGAATACAAATTTGGAAAAAATATAGAAAAATTAAATTTGCGAGATAAACGTTCCGGAATACCGCAAATAAAATGGGGAAAAAGTTTCGAACAAAAAATGTATGACGCACTTTTTGATTGGTCCAGCGGATGCTGAGCTACACTCAAAAATATTTTGGAAAAATTTTCGAAAAATTAAATTCGCGAGATAATCGTTCAGGAATACCGCCAAATTCTTAAGCAAAAAGTAGCGAACAAAAAATGTATGGCGCACTTTTTGATTGGTCCAGCGGTTGCTGAGCTACACTAAAAAATAATTTGGAAAAATTTTCAAAAAATTAAATTTGCAAGATAATCGTTCGGGAATACAGCCATAGTGATAAGAAGAAAGTTCTGAACCAAAAATGTATAGCGCACTTTTAGATTGGTCCAGCGGATGCTGAGCTACACACAAAAATATTTTGGAAAAATTTTCGAAAAATTAAATTCGCGAGATAATCGTTCAGGAATACCGCCAAATTCTTTAGCAAAAAGTAGCGAACAAAAAATGTATGGCGCACTTTTTGATTGGTCCAGCGGATGCTGAGCTACACTAGAATACA